TATGTAAGACAGGCAGCAGTATAATGGCACTTGCTCAGTGCCTGAATGTAAATGTCTCATAGCAGCAACTGACCTCCCAACTCAGTCCCCTCCTGTATAAATTTGTGACTCATACAGAAAGTCAGGTTAACTCGTGTCCATCATTGCAAAGACAATAAAGTATGCAGAAGCTTTAGGGATAGATGAAACTCTTGTTGACAGCTAGTGAGGAACTAACACAATATACCATTAGTCGATAAAAAAAACTTGAGTTTCTTGTCTTCCTTCACTTTCTTCCCTCTCTTGAGGAGTTCCTAGACAGTGTCTACAGATCTCCAGTGGGCTCCAGATCTCAGTTTAACTTGACCATGATTCTCCATCATGTACAGGGCCAAACAGCAACCTATCTTGCTCTAGACATTGCGTAAAATCTAAGGAATACAGTCATTGGTGGATTGGAGCTGGCATCCCAACACATTGGCATTTTTCAGGTTTGAAATCCAGCCTTCCACCTGCACACAAACCCATATATTTTATGGGGTTAAAATTCCTCTTGTTGACTCAATCCAAGGCCAGGACAGAATCTTTCTCGTCACCATACAGTTGGCAGCAGCAGGATAAGAAGTGACCAACACATCTTCTCAGGAATATGGGTGATTGACCATTCACAACAACGTGATAGGCTGCGAATTAGTTACAATGGAACCGTTCATGACTTTGAAAAATTCAATCAAATCTCCTGTTAGCCTTCCCCTCTCTGAGGGTAAGAGTCCCAACTTCTCTAATCTAGCTTCATAACCGCAGTTTCTCATCCCTCGAGCCATTCTCATATACTTCTTCTGTACTCTGTCTAATGTGTTCACATCCTTCCTAAATGCAGTGTCTAGAACTGCATACAATAGTTCAGTTGAGGTCTCACTGGTGTCATATATAAATTCAGCATAACCTCCTCACTCTTGTACTCAATGGACTTTTTCATAAACAAAAACCAAAAAAAAAACTGTGGATGCTGTAAACCAGAAACCAAAACAGAAATTGCTGGGAAAGCTCAGCAGGTCTGGCAGCGTCTATGGAGAGAAATCACGTCAAGGGACCCTTCCTCAGATCTGATGGTAGTTAGGAAAATGTTGGTTTATTTGCAGAAGATAGGTGGAGGGAGGGGTTAAGGAGTAAACAATAGGTGGAGATAGAGCCCAAAAAGACAGAAGAATAGTTGGACAGACAAAAGAGTGGATAACGATCTGGCTGGGAGGGTGAATAGCTATTAATTGCGACTATCAGTGGCTAGCAATGGGTTGTGTGTAATAGCGGACTATGTGGTAACAAGGCCTGCTGTGTGGCGGTTGGGATCAGGCCATGGCAGAGCTCAAGCCCTGAAGTTATTGAACTCGATATTGAGTCCAGAAGGCTGCAGGGTCCCCAAGCAGAAAATGAGGTGCTGTTCTTCCATCTTGCACTGAGCTTCGCTGGAGCACTGCAGCAAGCCTGAGACAGTGATGTTGACCTTTTAATAAAGCCTAGGATTCTGTATACTTTATTAACTGCTCACTCTGCTTGTCCTAGTTCCTTTACTGACTTGTGCACATATAAAACCAGGTTCTTCTGCTCCTGCTTGACTTTTAAATAAGTTCCATTAGGTATTTGATAAGGTGCAACAAGGTCATTGCAGAAAACAAAACTCATGGTATAGAGGATAACGTACTAGCACAGATAAAAGATTGGCTGGCTGGCAGAAAACAGAGAAGATGCATAAATAAGCCTTTGTCTGATTAGCAGGATGTGATGAGTAGAATCCTGCAGGGGTCCATGTATTAGGAACAATGAAAAGCAGGGTATTACTTAAGTGGTGAATGACTTCAGAATTCTGAAGTGCAGAGGCATTTAGGTTTTCTATATAATTCTCACAATGTTAGTATACAGGTACAGTGCACAATCAAGAAAGCCAATGGATGCTATCATTTACTGAAATCGAGGAATTGAACATAAAAGTAAGCATGTTATGCTTCAGTTAGAGAGGCCATTGGTGACACAACAAATCAAATGTGGTCAATCACCAAATCAACTGTGTGCAGTATTGGTCTACTTATTAAAGGCAGGATGTCAATGCATTGGAGGTGGTTCAGAGAGGGGTTCAGCAAACTGATACTTGGAATGAATTGGTTGTCTTATCAAGGATAGCTTAGACAGGATGGACTTGATTCCACCAGATCATAGAAGAGTGAGGAGGTGTCTTGATTGTAAAGTACAAGACTCTGAACAGCCTTGATAAGGTGGATGTGGAGAGGATGGCTCCTCTTGTGGGTTAGTCTAGAACTAGGGAGCAGTTTTAAAATTATAACAAAGCCGAGAATTTGTTTCTCTCAGAGGGTTGTGTGGCTTTGGAACTGTCTGCCCCAGAAGAAGGCAGCGTCATTGAATATTTTTAAGGCAGAAATAGATTCTTGTTAGGCATGGGATTCATTGATTAGACTTGAGCTTGGTTCTCAACCAAGTTATTTAGTATTAATAGAGACTCCCTTAGTCAACCCATTGAATACACCAATTACTTCTCCGACTTGAAAAGACCCCTTATAATTAATCACAGGACTCCAGGTATTGTGACAGTTTGATAAAATAGTACTCTATATTCCGCAGACACACCATTATCTTCTGTGCTGTCACCCATCAACAACCTTGATCATCTTTCAACCACTCAATATTACTGTCGCAATATTGTCACTCCTCTCTATAACCCTTGAATCACCTCATTGATCCTATAACAGTCACCTTTCACATGCCTTCTCCCACCTCCCTCGACAGCCAACATTATCCCCACAGGGTGGCACAGTGGCTCAGTGGCTCAGTGGTTAGCACTGCAGCCTCACAGTGCCTGGGTTCGAATCCACCCTCAAGCGACTGTCTGTGTGGAGTTTGCACATTGTCCCCGTATCTGCGTGGGTTTCCTCCGGGTGTTCCAGTTTCCTCCCACAGTCCAAAGATGTGTAGGCGAGGTGGATTGGCCATGCTAAATTACCTGGAGTGTTCAGGGGTGTGTAGATTAGGTGGGTTATAGGGGGATGGGTCTGGGTGGGATGCTCCGAGGGTCGGTGTGGACTTGTTGGGCCGAAGGGCCTGTTTCCACACTGTAGGGATTCTGTGTGTATCTCGGCCCCTCCTGAAAACTAAAGCACCAGTTCAATAATATTACACTAATCCGTCCACTTTCCCCACCCAGTTCCCACAAAACCTACTCACCATGACCCTAGAACACCCACCATACTGCATCCCAGCACCTCTCCTCACTGCCCATTAACCTCCCAGGGCAGCACCAACCTGGCTTTTAGGAATATTTCTCCAAAACCATCCTTATCCAAAGTAGCCCTCAACATCTCCAGCAACACATGGCAGCACTGCACCCCTGACACCATTACCCTTCCTCTATTTCCTTGGACACCCTGCCACTCATAGGCTCTGTTCCCTGGACAGACTTCCTTCCCAGTTCCCTCCCAGTCCCAGACAACCCTACTTCCCTCAGTCTGCCTCCCTGCTCCATGCCCCTTTTGGACAGGTCCCACCTGATTTCCATTCATGACCTGATGGAACACCCTCCCCAAACAGAACAAAGCAGTTGCTACTCACTCCAAATCCAGAAGGCACAAAATCTTTCAATTATTGATTTAAGTCACGCAACCATATTTGTAGCAGAATTTTTATTTTATTTTGTGAAATAATTAATAAAGAGAGACTCTGCTGTGAAGGGGAAGCTGCACTGCCAGGTTGATAAAAGATTAATAAAGGAAAATATTACAAAGTAGAACTGAATCTTTCTTCAACCGTGGCAGAATAAGGGACAGAACTTCTGAGAAGATTTCAGCCTGTTTTCCAAAAAGTAAAGCCCAAGTAAAACTTTTTTCGCTGAAGCACCTTAAATAGCATTTACCTTAGGGAAGTGGAAATTTGAGGAAGGTATTAGGCTGTCAGCCGATGATTTCATAATAGCAGCAAGAAATGGAGGAGCAATTTAGAGTCTTTCTGAACTGACAGAAGGAGTTCAGAATTTAAAATGTTCATCTAATTGCAGGTGGCATATCCAAGTAACATGCAGTGGCAGAAATTCAGCAGGGATTTGGTGAATTGAAAAGACAAAAGGAGATGAAGATGCCCGCTGGGAAGACAAACAGCAGATGTGTAAGAATTAACTGATTTGCAAAATAGCATAGAGTCAGGGTAATTAATTGGTTTGGAAACAAGAGTGCAATATTAATTGCAGAGAAAGATGGACAAACAGACAATATGAAACACAATTAAACAGTAATGGCAGCACAGATCTTTGATAAGGTTGTGAAAAGGGAATGTAAAATATTTTCCACTACAGGAGATATAAAAAGACAACCTACAGACTCCCTCTCTATGTTATTAATGTAGTAATATGCCTCATTATAGTTTTCCATTTTAGATTGTCTTATTGTTTTCTCTTTCAGTTTTAGTTTAAAGCCACATAATTTGCAAAATCCAATACGACATTGCAAGCTGAAAGCAAAGAAGCTTGGAGCCCCGGATAGGAGGAAATGCTTCCTCACAAGGCACATTGTCAGGCTGCAATTTTTTGCTATGGGTTCTTTCGCAGCCAACAAAGGAAAAAGGCAAAATCTTGCTTTCACTTTGTGTCAAAAGAAGAACAACTGAAAATAAAGCGACTGTCAGCATTGGCAAGAGTGCCGTTTACCATAAATATCCCTTGGCAGGTCTGGACCCCCTTAATATGCCATCCTAGAAGCTGTGATTCAAAAGATGTAAGTCAATGGATGAATCTTATCCAATCTCAAGCTCTCAGCTTTTAAGAGAGAGGCCAAGCATTAAAATTCTGTTACATTTCCAATAGTTTACATGTGAGGTACAGTTCTTCAGTTCATTTCCATCATGTAGCTTTGCAAATATCATAGACTGGGAAATCCCCGAGTCTGCTCCCTTCGTTCCTAGTGGAAGCAAGGAAATGTGCTTTTCCCAAAGGAAGGCTGATGGTTAAGGCCAGAAATATTTACTTTTTATAAGCATTACTGCAGATTTTCTTCTCTGGACACATGCAAAGGCGATCCCCAGTCTTCTGCTTCGAGCAAGTCTATGTTGAACGTCATTTCTCTTTTTCCCTTCAGTGAGTAAAGCAAAAATAATTTAAAAAACAGGCTGCAGCAGCCAGTCAGACAGAGTACAATCATCAATTTGAAAATAAGTAACTCACAATTTTACAAGCAAGAAACAAAAGACATTTCAGTTAGGTGTGTGCCAAATCCTACCATTTATTACCAAGCAAATAGGGCAATTTGTCCTATCACGTGGAAATGAGAACATATCTTTCCTTTGACATTGGGCAAGGTGAGTAGGCGGATGGGATGTTTTGTAACATTAAAGTGTATTTATTGTCATGTGTACAATGATAAGCGGACTGTGGATTTATGGTGATTAACATATAAGTTTCCAAAATTTTTACTGAGCTTCCTAGGGACATAATTCATTAATCTGAGAAAATAGTAAAGGAAATGGCATGGCTATACATATGTAATTAGTGTACCTGCTATACTTATCTTAACTATTGCTTAGTTATGTGTTGAACATTGTTTTTAAATCCCCTACAATTTAGTTCAAGTTAAAGGTACGATGGAAGACTGTTCACAAAGTGAACAGCAGTGAAAGTGAACAGAAATGAAAAGGGAATCAGAGATAGTAGGAACTGCAGATGCTGGAGAATCCGAGACAACAAGGTGCAGGGCTGGATGAACACAGCAGGCCAAGCAGCATCATAGGAGCAGAGAGGCTGACGTTTCGGGCCTAGACCCTTCATCAGAAAAGGGGGAGGGGAAGGGGGTTCCGAAATAAATAGGGAGAGTGTGGGAGGCGGATAGAAGAGGGATAGAGGAGAGGATAGGTGGAGAAGAAACAAACAGGTCGAAGAGGCGGGGATGGGGCCAGGAAAGGTGAGTGTAGGTAGGGAGTTAGGAAGGGGATAGGTCAGTCCAGGGAGGACGGACAGGTCAAGGGGGCGGGATGAGGTTGGTCGGTAGGAGATGGAGGTGCGGCTTGAGGTGGGAGGAGGGGATAGGTGGGAGGAAGAACAGGTTAGGGAGGCAGGGACGAGCTGGACTGGTTTTGGGATGCGGTGGGGGGAGGGGAGATTTTGAAACTTGTGAAATCCACATTGATACCATTGGGCTGCAGGGTTCCCAAGCGGAATATGAGTTGCTGTTCCTGCAACCTTCGGGTGGCATCGTTGTGGCACTGCAGGAGGCCCAGGATGGATATGTCGTCTGAGGAATGGGAGTTGAAATGAAAAGGTATGAGTTTCTGCTTCTGAATTTTTTTTTCCAAAATCGATCTTCCCCTCCCCTCAAACTCATCCACTTATCACCAAATCAGAGCCTGCCATGAAACAGCACACTTGGGCAGCTTTTGAAAGCAAATGATCCTTCAAAAAAGATTCTTTGATATATTTAAGAGTGGCAATCTGTTGTGGTTTAATAAAGACAGCTGAAAATGTGTTTAATTACAAAATACAAGCATTTTCCATCACAATTGCAATTCACCAAGACAGCAATTTGTTTAAAAAACATAACCCCAAAATAAATATTCTAGTCTCCAAACAAACAGAGACCAGATGTACCCTGAAAGATATCTGGCAGAACCTCTTGGAAGAACTGATGCAATGACAATGACTTAAATGGCCCGAAAGTGTAAACAACTGATTAGATAATTACTTGCCATTTGGAACCCTCTGAAAAAGCCTCAAACTTTGAGACTTCAGAGGGTGCCCATTCACTTAGCAAGAAAGGTTAGAGAGATTAAAACATGAGTCTGAGAAACTAACTGACACCATCCCCCTTCTATCACTCACACTGATCCCCCAGTTATTCACGCTGCCCTTCTCCATCTGCCACCCTATCCCCTTACCTGCCTGCCACCCTAACCCACACACAAATGACACCTCAATTCCTGACTTGATCACCCTGCCCTGTCACCCATTTACTTGCCAATCTACCTGCCACCTTACCCTTCATTCACAAACTATTTCATCTCCTCAGTCACTGCCACCCTACCTCACCCATCGGCCAATCTACCCCTTCCCCTGGCACCTTATTCCCTTACCCAACTTACACTCCACCCGCTCATCCATGTACCTGCCACTACCTCCCTCACCCACGTACCTGTCACACTACATCCTTACCTGCATACCTGTGTATCTCTTTATCCAGATATCTGCATCTCTAATCCTCATCTACTTACTTGGCACCCTATTCCCTCAATGTGTTTAAGTTATCTTACCCACATACCTTCTCTTCACAGCTTCTCAAAGAGGTTTTGGGACATTTAAACTGTGTTTACTTCTGGAATATGATAGTAAAAAGACAACGTGGTTTTGCACAGTTTCCCTGCATCGCTCCCTTGAGGATTGCTGCACTGCATGAATCTGGAAGGATCCCCAATCTGAATTTGAGCCCAAAAAATCAGAGAAAGTTAAGTGTGTCCCTGCATATCTGATCTGGGTCAGCGTTAGAGATTCCAACCCGGATTGGAAGAGTTGAGCCATAGACAACTGCTTACTAGTTATATTGGATCAGTAGTCTGTTTGCTTACTAGCACAGACCAGCATTTGAATATTGCTGAAAATAAAGACACGTTGCCAAAGCCCTTCATGTTGCACTCGTCAGGACAAATGTGAAATGCCAAATTTTAGAAATTCATAACAACTTATACTACTGGAGAAAAGGATGCTGATTGATTGAGAAGTTGACTCTGATAGGCGAAGGAATTGCAATAGAGAAAGTAATCGGGAACTTCAAGCTACAAGGTAATAGTTATGCCAACAACCAAATTAAGTCAATAAATTGAACTTGTAACATGGCTGATTTACTCTGCTAGAAGTGACATGTTTTCATACACAGAGGCCCATTCAAGCTTTACTTCCTTTACTGAATAACATAAGCGCATAGTACAAAGGAGCAAGAGCCAGCCATTCAGACCTTCAAACCTACTCTACCATTCAACTAAATCCATGGCTGATCTTCTAACTCAATGCCATTTTTCCACACAATTCCCATATCTCCTGATATCTTTAATATTTCGAAATCTACCAATCTTCATCAATGTCTTGGACATGATCAATGACTGAGTTTCAATAGTCTTTCAGAATAGTGACTTCCAAAGATTTACCACTGTCTGAGTGAAGAAATTCCTCCTCAGCTCAATCATAATTGGCCTATCCCTTACTATAAGCCAGCTCTAGAACCCCATCCCCTAGACAAGGAACACATCTTTCTTGCACTTTGCTTGCTGAACTCTCAATATCTCCTCATAGGATAATCCTGACATCCCAGGAATAGGTTAGTGAACATTTATTGCAGTCCTGTCATGTCAAGTATATCCTTCCTGGATTAAAGAGGAAAAAACCGCACATAATACTCCAAGTGCAGTTCAATTAATGTACTGTACAATTCCATGAAAATATCTTTCTACTATACTCAAATCATCTTTCAGTAAAGACCAAAATACCATTTCCCTTCCTGACTACTTATTACACCTGCCATCTTCACTTCAGTGGCTCGTGAACAATGACATCCACGTTAGAAACAAAAACAGAAATCCCTGGAAAAGCTCAGCAGTCTGGATGCATCTGTAGAGAGAAATCAGAAGTAAAGTTTTGGGTCCAATGACCCTTCCTCAGAACCTCCAGATTAGTTTGAATACCAAATATTTCCTCGTCTGTCATTTTAGAAATGTTCAGTTTTGCCTCCAAAGTGGATAACTTCACATTTTGCCACATTATATTTTCTCTGCCATGTTCATGCCCACTCACTTAAGTTATTTAAATCCCCTTGAAGCATTTTTGCATCTTCCTCACAACTCACAGTCCCACATATGTATGTGTCATCAGAAAACTCAGAAACATTACATTTCAACCCCACATCCAAATCATCATGAGAACTTGTGAGTATAGCTTGGGTCCAAGCTGTGATTTTTGTTGTACACCACTAGTGACATCCTGCCCTGAGAATTACCTGTTTATCGCTATTTTCTGTTTTCTGGTCATCAACTAATTACAACATAACATATGCTGTAACTTTATTTCCTACCCTCTTGTGTGGGATCTTATGAAAATTCATATGCACCACATCCACTGGATACCTTATCCATTCTGCTAGTTCCATCCTCAAAAACAATTCAACAGGCTAGTACAATATGATTTCTCACTGAATCTGGCTAATCCTATGATTGTTTTCTAAGTATCCAGTTCTCATATCCTTTATAATAGATGCTGGCATTTTTCCAACTCCTGTTTTCAGACTAATGTGTCTGTAGCTCCCACATGTTCTCTTTCACTTTGTTAACTATTGGAATTACATTTGCTACCTTCTCATCTGCAGGGATTATTCTAGAATCTATAGAAGTTTGAAGGATGATCAACAATGCCTCTATTATCTCTACAGCCAGCTCTTTCAGCACGAGATGATGTAAGTCCAGAGGATTTATCAACTTTCAGTCTTACAGGATGTTTGGTTTAGTCGGTAACTTGGTTGGCTTGGGCTATTTGGACTAAAGGGTGTGTTTCCAGTTTGTATGACTCAAATGCCTGCAGTTCAACTTTTTAACTAATACTTATTTCTTACAGTTCCTTGTTCTTTTTAATTCTTTGATCCTCTTTTTTAAGAATATTTTTAGTACCTTTCTCCAGGAAGTCAGACAAAAACAATTTGTTTAGTTTCTCAATCATTTCCTTAACCCAGTGATAAATTTTCTTGTTTGTGCTGGTATTTGGCCCACATTTGTCTGTGCTAATTCTTTCCACTTTACCTAACAACGGAAGCTTCAACAGTCAATTTTTTTTAAATGTTTCTCGCTAGTTTAATGTCATATTTTGTTTTCCCTTTTCTTTATCAGTTTTTTTGGAATTCGTTTGCAGAATTTTAAAAAAAAGTGCCAATCCTCAGGCTTGCTATATTTTTAGCAACTGTGTAAGCCTTTTTCTTTGATCTAATACAATTGTTCGTTTCTCTGGTTAATCACAGTTGAATCACCTTTCCTGTTGCATTTTGTGCCTCAAGGGAAAGTGTAGTTGTTGTAAACCATTTATTTGGTGGCCTATTCACAACACCCACTA